CTGCTCGATCCCGCTCGACAGGAAGAGACGAAGTGCTCGACCCTTTGTTGCGCCGAAGACTCTCGCCTCACCCGCTCCTCTCACTCGATCGAAGACCCACACTCACCTGCTCCTCACTTTCGCTCACCCTCGTCGGCTTCTTGCTCACGTGCGACTGAGTTTTCCCTGCTCTCGACAAATTCTACTCAGCACGTCTGCTCACCTCAGCCTCCCTGCATCGAGGGCCTCCGCCTCCTTTTTTTCATCGCTCGTTCAGCAAGGTAACCCTCTAAACTCTAAGTGACTGTTTCATAGCTAGTTTTGGGCATGATTTAATTCAAATCTCATGGTGATTATTTCTGTTGTTATTGAATCTGTAACTTAAACCATGGATTTCGTAAATCTGAGTAGGGTTGATGAAGATTTTTTTTTCATCCACTGTTACGAAGAGTTAAGATTACTGGAGAATTTAATTTTGAAAGAAATTGTCTGGTTGTAAAAAAAAAAAAAGATGCATGGCTATTTAATTGAAATCTTCTTTTCTTGTGTGAATCATTTCACAAGGTCATCCCTCCACAGATTTGAGGATCATGCTATACTGAAAGCCATTCGTTGCATTCTTGTTTTCATCGACAGGCTCAAAGTTTTCCTTTTGTGATGTTCTTGAGTTTTTGATTGGCACTTTGCTTTTGTGAAAATTATCATTTTGAAAATTGCGAACTCTGATTCCTCCATTTCTGCCTTTTGTGGGACATTGATTTAGCCGCTTTACAGTGTTTTAAAACTTGTTGATGTTTATGATGGGGTACAAAATATCTGTCATATTGAGCCATCTTCGAAAGGTCTTGATTGTTATTCTGTTGAAGACGTAAAATTGAATTAGCGAGTTTGCTGAAAATATTATTTCATCTCAACGATATGAATATCATAATAAATTGTTTAAATTCAGGAGAATTTTTTTTGCTGTTGAGCGGCAATAGTGCAACCAAAAGTTCGAAAGTCAGATTGATCTAGAGATGTTTCCATCCAATGCATTAGATAGAGTCGCTTTTGGCCACATATGACCGCTGTTTAAAATTGATTATTTACTTCTTGGGGGCTGCTCTTGCTTAATATTGTCTACTGTTTTGGGGTTGGATCTGGAGAGCATTGTCTACTGTTTTAGGACTGTTTTGGGGCCCTAGAAGCTTGCTAGCTGCAGCCCGGAGTCGTAGGAAGCTGTAGGACCACTCCCCAAAGCTCCTAGCCGCTGTCTGGTATCGTAGAAGCGTTGTAGGCTGCTGTCCAAAGCTCCAAAGCCGTTGTTTGGAGTATAGGAGCGTTGCAGGCTGCCGTTCAAGGCTCCAAAACCGTTGTTTGGAGTATATGAACGCTGTAGGTTGTGGCCCAATGCTCCAAAGTCGCTGTTTGGAGTATAAGAGCGTTGTGGGTTGTTGTCCAAGGCTCCAAATCCGTTGTTTGGAGTATAGGGACGCTGTAGGCTGCTGTCCAAGGTTCCAAAGCCGCTATTTGTGCGATGTTGTCCAAGGCTCCAAAGTCGTTGTTTGGAGTATAGGAACGCTGTAGGCTGCTGTTCAAGGTTCCAGAGCCGCTATTTGGATTCATAAGAAGCCGTATAGGTGCTTCCCACCACTGTTTGGGTTTGTAGGAAGCCATCTAGGTACTGCCCACCGCTGTATGGGTTCGTAGGAGGCCACATAGATGTTGTCCACCGCTGTATGGGTTCGTAGGAAGCCATTTTGGTGTTGTTCACGACTATTTGGATTCATAGGAAACCATCTTGGTTTTGTCCACCACTTTTTGGATTCGTAGGAGGTCATCTAGGTATTGTCTACCACTGTTTGAGTTCGTAGGAAACCACCTAGGTGTTGTCCACCACTGTTTGGATTTGTGGGAAGCCACCTAGAAGCTGTCCACCACTATTTGTATTTGTGGGAAGCCATCTAGGTGTTGTTCACCACTGTTTGGGTTCGTAGGAAGCCATCTAGGTGTTGTTCACCACTGTTTGGGTTCATAGGAAGCCACCTAAGAGCTGTCCACTACTATTTGGGTTCGTAGGAAGCCACCCAAGTGTTGTCAGCTGTCCACCATTGTTTGGGTTCGTAGGAAGCCATCTAGGTGCTGCCCACCGCTGTTTGGGTTCGTATGAGACCACATAGGTGTTGTCTACCGCTATTTGGGTTCGTAGGAAGTCATCTAGGTGTTGTCCACCGTTGTTTGGGTTTGTAGGAAGCTGCATAGGTGTTGTCCATTGTTGTTTGGGTTCAAAGGAAGCCATACAGGTGTTGTTCGAAGTTCCTAGTTATTGTCCAGAGTCGTAGGAATCACTGTACACGCTTGCTAGTTATTGCTTGGGGCCGTAGGAGGTCGCAGCATTACCGTACTAGCTCGTTAGTTGCAGTCCAGAGTTGTAAGAAATCTTAGGATCACCTGTTTGAAGTTCTTAACTGTTGTTACGATTTGTTCTACTGCTTACTATTTTCTTCTTTTCTTTGTACTTTATTTAATTTTCCTGTAAATTATATTGTGCTTTGTGAGTTAAATATGTAACAGGGATAGCAACATCAGATGCGCCACGTACGCAGGTACATTTTATTTGTTGTTTTTTTTTCATTGCAATTTACTCTTGATTTAACGCATTATGCTGGTACTGATTACAATTTTATATTCAAAACAAAACGATTTTTCAGAAATTAAACAACATTTTCAAGATAAAAAAAATAAAAAATAAAATATAACACGTTCTTTCGAATTTACGGGAGTCCCTTGGAAGAGCTAACCCACGATTGCTAACGAGATCTCTTCGGTTTAAATAGATTTCATAATTCTTTTAAACTAAGTAAAGTCAAAAGAAAATAGTGATACCGGAACGAGGGAACTGTGAAATCATAACCGGTGTTGCTCTAATCAACTTTAACACCCCCCATAATACTTAGATGATCATAACCTTATAAAACATTTGATTTGACATCATGACTTGTCAGATTAGAAAACTTAAACCCCCTTCGACGAGGAGTTTGGAGCAGCTTCGTGAGCAGCGCAGCAAGGAGCTTGGAGCATACTACAAGTGGAGGTGGTCGTCATTCTACAACAGCAAAACAAGTCTATACAGCTAAACTCTCTCATTCATCTAAATAGCAACCCATAGGACTTCAAAGTAGCTCGCCCAGCACGACGTAAATCCTCACTCTCTTTTAGGCTCCTACACAGTTATACTGAGCAGTATAAGTCTTAACTCGTCTTAGGTTCCGAGGTTATCGTCTAGAACGACGTAAAACCTCTTATCTCTGCGGGCTATTTGCATAACCAGTTATTATGCAAGTGTAGGTCTCAAACGAATAAAATTGATAGGATTAAACATTCAAATAATATTCTCTCTAAAACATAGCCGCACAGTGGGATAGTTTGGGAAGTCATTGAGGATCCCCCTCAAGATCTGTGATGTTCCCTACCCTTTACTTCCTTTGGATTCCTGAAAAAATTGTTCCTACTTGAGCCACTCTCACTTGTTTTTCCACGTCCTATCGTGAAAAAACCTAAACCTTGAATTTTTTAAAACTAGAACCACTGATCATTATCGAGAGTTTTCTCAAGTGACTCTTGTCATTTGAGATGTAATTTAACTATAGGGGTTTGCCTCTATAGGGAACTTGGAACCCAGATAAAATAAACCTTATTTAATTTTTGTATTAAATAGGAGAATTTGTCGGTCACATATAAAAGGTTCGCAGACCAAATGATTGTCACAAATCTCTTAATTTGCAGGATTGGGTCTATTGTCGGGGTCTACACTTATCTCTTGGAATGTGTAGTATTCAGGGTACCAGACACGATTATGCAAATTATTGGACTAATGAGATTCATTCAGTCTCATTTTCTAAAAAATTAAAACACTACTTTCATAATCTAAACGATACACTTTATATTTAAATTAAATTTTCAAATTTCTGAAAGTTGACCGAGAACTATCTAGCCAGTGTTCACCACTGTAATCATCACCCTAGGGGATCAGTTGTGTTTTGTGTTATTTTATTTTTGTTTAAGAATCGTTGTAATCCCCTTGAGTTTTTAGCAATAATATTCAGGTTTTGTTGTCTTTAGGTTTAGCTCCGGTTTCAACTCATTATCTTATAAATGTTATCTGATTTATAGATTTTGATGCACCGTCTTCTAACCTATCAGCCATAATAATCATTGATAAAAGTTGGTCCGCCCAACTTTTTAATTATCAGCAGATCACTTGATGATGATTGTATTGTTTCTAGTTTGGTATTAGGTGTGGGAATGTATGTATTTCTCTACTAAGACTCCTATTGGCAGAATTTTTAACTTCACCTGTATCATAGTCTGCCCATCTATCACAAGATAACATGACATTACATTGATCTTCTTTATCTATTATATCATTTGTATATACATTCACGTATTTAGTATATCTATGTACCTGTTAATTTTCAAACTATATTAACAGGCATCATGAATATAGTGTGACATATCACATATGATACTCCACATTTTCTACTTAGTTAAACATTATATCATATCAATTGATTATAACTTGATTTCTATTAAAATATCATGAATTGATTATGAACAGATAATCATTTACATTATAATTAAACTTTACTGGGAGAATAAAAAATAAAATGTCCTTAATCTGGTGGAAAAAAAAAAAAAATCCTTTGTACATGTATGTAAAAAGTTAATATATTTATAAGAACTTGCGTGTGTTAGACCTATGAATGATTTTCTCTTTATTTTTGACATTGAAGATCTCGCCCAACTTGGATTCTCCATAGAATGGATTTCATAAGAAATATTTTTAATTTCAGTTCGGATTCTTTTACAACATTTTGAACAAATTTGGAGAAGCCTTTGTTTAAACACTAACCTTGTAGATAATCTTATACATGTAATGGAAAAAAGTTCCTTTTCTCACATATTAAATTCACCCGTGATAAATTGCTTGTTTATTTATATCTTATTTAAATCGCTTATTACAATCTTCCATCTCTTTCTAGATTTGGACAGAAATGCAGAATGACTTTTTCCCAAACTTTATCCTCTGTAATACTACTCAGCGCTTCATTCGCTCAATAAAGGGAGCTCGGCAGGCTCCCCAAAGGGCCCCAGTGTCCAATGTGAAATCCTACTTTTTCTGCGGCTCTCAGGTATGTTAACTTCTTTATAATTGGAATTGATTGCCAATTTGTGATATTCCAAATAGACTCTATTTTAATTGCTAATCCTACCGGTGTCTTCTTCCATTTAATTTTTTGATAGTAAAATATTTTACTTTTTTTAATTTCTATAATACAGAATGTTGAAGTATTAAAGATGTTATTCAACATAGTTTTAGATTTATGTGTTAACCGTGTATAAATTTACAGAAATATTAAATTTGAATGCATATTGACTTTTCTTTCTTCCATCTTTTTTCTAAAGCTTGTTGGAATTTTCCAATGATATTTTTGACATGTCCTCTTTCACTGTCCATGCATTTCATCCTTTTTTGTCCATATTTTTCAGCACATTTCTATTTTGCATCTATTAATTGATACTTAAGGACATAAGGTACTTAGCAGTTATCTGGAAGCAGCAACCATCTTTTCATCATTCACGCATATTTTTTTTTAGGTGGCAAATTGCAATACCAATACTTATTTCAATTCATAATCATTGTACATTTATTCAACCAACATATGCAAATTCCATCACTTGACTGGCTCATCTTTAGTTAGCATACGTTGCATAGGTAACTTATGAAACGGCAATTTACATACATGGTACTCAATTCCTATGTATTTACATATCTATCCCCTAAACTTCAATTTTTACATACTTGCCACCTTATCTATGCATGAAAGGTGTATTTCAATTTTTAAAAGTTATATGGTTGGTATTTTTGATGGGACATGAAAGATTTGGATGGTTTAAAAAGTTTAAGTATTATATATGTAAATACATAGGAATTAAGTGGTATGTTTGTAAATGCCCTTAATTAAATTTAAAATACCTGACACTTCATCTGGTTTTGCTTGGTTGGGACTTGATTGAACATGTTCTTTCTAACAGGATTTTATTTTTTTTTTTGATGTGATTCTAATGCAGGATTTGAATGCAGCATACCACAATCTGGCTGGGATGTACTCGGAGTTCTTTGGAATTCCTCATATGTTTGCAGTTGTCCAACTTATCGGTCTTAGATCACTACCATGGATTATACGAGCCATATTAGATCATATAGCAATTAAGGTAAATTCATGTTCTGCAATATTTAGTAAACAAATTGTGAATGTTAAATGCCAAAAGGAGAAAAGTGTCAAAAGGATTAAAATGTCATTTTAATCCCCAGATACTTTCAAAATGGGTCGAATTAGTTCACAGTGAGGACTATTTTGGTCCTCATTAAAACAGCCTGGGTACTATTTTAGTATTTTTATAAACTTGGGCTAAAATGACCTCATCTAAATAGTCATGGGACTACTTTGGCACTTTACTCATGCTGAAAGAGTATGACTGGTTTTATTTTATTTTTTTTTTTTCCATATGAAAGGATGCTGCATGCTGGAATCAATGTTGGTGATAAATCTTCAATTTTCAATCTACAATCTTCTTTATTTCCATCAAACAGGGTACCATTTTATTTCCAATTTATTGGAGTTGGCAAAGGGCCGGAAACACCAATTTGGCATAACTGTATGCTTTTAGTCCCATAGTATAAATTGTTAATTTAATCCCCGATACTTTTGATGTGTTGAAGTAGCCGATAGTGCGGACTATTTTATACCCAATTAAAACAGCCTGGGCACTATTTTTAGCATGTTTGTAAACTCGAGGACTACAATGTCCTCATCTAAATAGTTATGGTACTACTTTGGCACTTTACTCTTGCTTAAAGAGTATGGCTGGTTTGATTTTTTTTTTCCCATATGAAAGGATGCTGCATGCTGGAATCAGTGTTGGTGATTAAATCTTCAATCTTTAATCTACAATCTTCTTTATTTCCATCAAACAGAAATGCCATTTTATTTTCAATTTATTGGAGTTGGCAAAGGGCCAGAAACTCCAGTTTGGCATAACTGTATGCTTTTAAAATTATTTTTGATGACCGTTACTAATCTTTCGTTTTTGGTTTCTTTGACTTAGGACATGAACATCATACTTAGCCTTGTTTTAATTATTTTGAATGTCTGCTTTCAATCACTCTCTTTTTCTCCATTCATTTCTATTCAAGTGCTCCTCCATGAAATGCCCAAAAGACCTCCATCATTGGTAAGGCTGCACACTTTTCCCTTCACAGTACAACCAGAATAAAAAATGTTGTTGCGAAGCCACTGCTGCTTTCGCATAGCGTCAATCTAAAGGACTCGTTGAACCACAAACATCTCATCCTCATTAACTAGAAGTTGATACTTCTGCATATCCTCATTATCTTTTATGTCTCCAGTACCATTGTCCCACTTCTTCTACTACTCCTTGCTCAGTAAAAGAGACAACTCTTGTAATATGGTAAATGGAGGTGATGTTTCTAAACCCATGCTAGCTGAAACACTTCCTTGCGGAATCTGTGGTTCTTGTACTATTCCTCTCTGATTTCTTCCCACTCTAATCAGCTCTATCATCTTTCTGGACAATTTTCACATCTTCAATTGTACTATTGGCTCACACTGTGGGTGATTGTCTAAATGTAGATGTGGTCGTGATCTGCTTCTAATGATTCTCTACCTTTAGGTTTGATGTCTGGATCACTCAATAACCAGTAAGGCTGCAGTTGAACGACATGGCTTATGGCTCACTTCAAGCCTCCCAAATTCCTAGCTATCGTGTTTTCATTTGGCTCTCTCGACTCACATGTTAATATGAGAAGTTCAAACTCTGTTGTGAACTTCTCTACTGACAACTCCCCCTTATCTAAGCGATGTAGTCTCAAGAACATGTACTGATAGTAGTGTGAGGGTAGATACTTCCTTTGCGTCTCCTTCTTAATCGTCCTGCAAGTAGTGATCTACCTTCTCTTGTCTCTCTCTTTAAGATTTTTTCACCATTAAGAGGTAACTCTTCTTCAGTTTTATGGCAATAAGCTTCACTCTTTTATCATTCGGTACCTCATACTCAAAAATCTTCTCAGCAGTCTTGAAGCACTGAATAAAGTCATCTTAATTCATTTTCCCTTCAAAATCTGGTAAGTCTACATTTACTCCCATGTCCTCCAAAAGTCACTTCATCCCTCGGTCTCCTCTGATACTGAATCCCAATACATAATGCCTTTCTTCCTCTTCACTAGAATCATCCTTATGGAAGGGATTCAGATTTGCTCTCCCTTTTCTTTGAATCTCACTATCACTGTCAACAGTGATCTCTCCATGGGTCCCTTCCTGGATTTTAAGAAGTCTTTGCTGAAGTCGGGGGGATTTTCCGCCACATTTCTTCCATTTTAAGTTCCTGATTGGCTTCTAACACTTGTCTCCTCGGTGGCATGGTTGGTTTTTAGGTCTAGGAGGTGAAAGAGAGTGTATGGGGCTGTTTTAGGGTGCAGAAAAAAATATAGGGTTGTTGATTTTGAAGATCAACAAGGAGAAAAAATTTTGGGCGGTAGTTAGATATTGATAGATTTTGGTAACTCTAGGATGAAATTATAGAGTTGGGCTACCTCTGATATCAAATAATACTGAAATTTAACAAACACTTTAAGGAAACAAATGTTAGTATTGAATTCAAAGTCTTAAATTAACAATATGGAATCTGAAATTGTAACAAAACAACAAAACACAAGAATTAGGGTTGGATCTACGATGAAGGTGGTCTTGGTTAGGGTTTGGATCTCCAAGGTGGTGGTAAGGAGGCTCCTGGCAAGCCGGAAACAATAGTACAACATTTTTTTAGGAGTCCGAACAGCAAGGAAGCAATAGGAACAGTTGTGGGAGGGTTGTTCTAGGTGGTAGAGGCAATTAGGAAGGGGAGAGAATGTTGGAGCGATGTGGGAATGGATGTGGGAAAGGTATAGGAAGGATAAATCACTTGGAGACCAAGACAGAGCCAGGGCACCACTTGGAACCAACGGTTGTCCCAAAACTATTCATAGTAAAAACTAAACCCTAAACACCAATAAAAGCAAATATATATTTCTAGATAGTTAGAAGTAGACCCTCTGTTAAAGAGGCAGAACTCCCAAGACTAGAGGACCGGTCGGGCCCTCCAAAACCCGGACCAATTCAGTCTAGGTTAAGATGCACCGCATCAAGTTTGTACTAAGAATTGACATTATATTTATGATTTTATACAACTCATCCCTGATTTGTGCTTGGAACCTTGGACTTGGATATTCTAAATCAAAAAGTGTCAAGACATTGTTACGCACTGGCCTAAGGGCAATTTTGTCGGTTATTAGCCTGAGGGCAAATTGGTCTTTTATTATTATTATTATTATTATTATTATTATTATTATTATTATTATTGGGTATAAATTTAGGGTTAGGATTATGTATGAAATTATTGTGGTGTCTTAGGTTTAGGGTTTGGGAGAGATTTCCATGGGAGAGATCGCTTACTTCTCGAATTGTAGATGTTTATCTTTGCATTTGTGTTGAGTTGTTTGAATTTGTGAAGAAAAACATTTATTTTGCTCTAATTTCTGTGTCAATTTCTACTTGGATTGTATCGGACATGTTTGGATATTGATCTAGAAGTCTCACCTTGAGTTAGTTGAACACATTGAACCAATGATCATTATCTGAGGAAGTTATGGTTTCCTGTATGATCCCAATGGTGTTAACTATTTTAGCCACATCAAAATAACAAATCTTATTATATTTTTGAGAACTTTACCTGCATACTATACAATTGTTATGTATTTACATACCTAACACCTAAGCTTCTATATATACATTTATAACATTCTGCTGTCATAAATCTAGGCAATAAATGGTGTATACTTCACTTTTAGAAGTATCGTGATATTTTTATGTGATGTTAAGTGCTATGCATGTAAATATGAAAGTTTAGTTGTTAGATATGTATATAGATAAGAACTGTGTCTTATTTATGTAAAATGCCCCATTATTTTTTTGTTGAGAATCTCCGTTTGCTATTTTATACTTTGATTATATAGCCGTTTACTCTATTAGGAATGATTTGCACAATTGAAACTAGTTTTCACAAGATAATAGCATCTCTTAACTCTATAGTTTTCGTTAAAGCTGCAATTTCTGCTTGAGATGTCTTTTGTTTCCATGATGTACTATTGATTTTATCATTTTTGGCTTTATGAAGTAGATTTGATGATGGATGACCTATTTGGTCTATAAATACTAAGATTGCTAAGATTTTCTTTTACTACTACTTGAGGGCATTATTTCTAATGCTTTTTGTGCATATAAATTTTCAGGTGAACGAAATAGTACCTAAAATATATGGGCTACAAGATGCACTGCCGAAATCTATTGGACTTCTTCCTTTTGATGGTGGTGTGGCCGGTAAGCTAGGAGTGATTCACATTCAAGTTTTAGAATATTATTTCTAATACTTTTAGTATATTTACTATTCTTTCTAATGCTTTTAGTGTATTTATTCTTCTTCAAAGTGACTCGTCTATGTTTTATCATCTACTAATTCAGAATGTGTCAAGAAGTTGCATAAGGAAAATAAAAGATCTACCTCTATAATATGGACATTAAGAACGATTCAGAACGCTAACATACTGAAGATAAATGATTGTGTTTTTCTATTTTTTTGTCGATTCTCTTAGTTTTACTTGAAGTTTTTTCAAGACTATCAAAAATTAGGTTTTTATATAGTAGTGTGAATATTGATTATTGTATGTTATATGTTGGTGTTCTTTAAATTAGTGTTTGGAATGCATTTTACATGTTTTATAATTTTCATCAATGCTGGTGATTTATGCATCTAAATTTTATGTGTTTTCTCTTTTCTTCTCATCTTAGTTATGCATTTGTAAATTGTCCTAAATTTGCATTTGAGAACTCCTATCTCTGAAATATTTATCACCAAATTTAGTATCAGAGTTTCTGGTTGCATCATTATGCCTACTAGAAATATGAAATAATTTTGAGTTAATTAATGAAGTTATAAAAGAAGCAATTTAAACAAAATTTATTAAATTATGGTTCTTCTTTTTTCTGGAACTTCATATACAGTTCTTCTTTTAAGTCATCATGTAAGGATGTTATCATTACATTCATCTTCAAATGTAGATCTTCTTCTGCTATTAAACAACAACAACAAGCCTTTATCCCACTAAGTGGGGTCGGCTACATGAATCCTTTTTCTCGATTGTGTTCTAACCATCGCGTCCTATTTAGAGTCATATTTTCATTTAATTCTAATAAATTAAGATCAATTTTTATATAATATGCCCAAGTCTTTCTAGGTCTACCTCTATCTTTTTTAACATAAGTCAAATCTAAAATATCTATTCTCCTAATCGGATTATCAGATAGTCGACATTTAATGTGATCAAACCATTTAAAGACAATTCTCTCTAATTTTGTCCACCACATGAGCTACAACAACCCTATCACGGATATATTCATTTCATGTTTTGTCTCTAAGTGTAAAGTCACTCATCCACCTAAGCATTCTCATCTCAGCAACACTTAATTTTAGTCTCTTTAAAAAGCCAACATTTTACGCCATAGAGCATTGCAGGTCTCACCGCCATCTTACAAAATTTTCCTTTTGGTCTAAGCGGTACTTTTTTATAACACAATAGGCCCAAAGCATTCCTCCACTTCAACCAACCAACTTGAATTCTACTTGTAACATCCCCATCTCCCCATCTATATCACCATTACTTTAAACAATAGACCTGAGATATCTCAAGCGTTAACACTTTTTAATAATTTGATCTCCCATAGTTACAACTCTGTCACTAGAGCTACTACTACTAAAATTATATTCCGTGTATTTAGTTTTAGTTCTACTCAAACAAAGGCCTTTAGAATCCAATGTAGACCTCCATAATTCAAGTTTTTTTCGGAGCTTCTTTTCTAGTCTTATCCACAAGAAGGATATCATCTGCAAAAAGCATACACCAAGGTAAATCCTCCTATAAATGTCCAATAAGAGCATACAAAACTAATGCAAAATGTTATGGGCTTAAAGCTGATCTTTATTGTAAAGATATGGGCTTAAAGCCGATCATATCAACACCTTTCTTCTCTAGAACATTCCAAATGATATATCTTGGATCTTTATTGTAAGCTTTTTCTAAATCAATAAAAGTCATATTTAGATCCTCCTTATTCATTTTGTACTTCTCCATCAAACCTCTCAATAAATGTATAGCTTCCATAGTATACCTGCCCTGCATAAATCTAAACTGATTGTGAGAATTTTTTACATTTGTCTTAACCTTATGTTCAATATGTTCAATTACCTCTTATATAATTTTAAAGTATGACACATTAACTTAATTCCTCTATAATTTACACACTCTTGTGCATCCCCTTTATTGTTAAAAAATGGAAACTAAAATACTCTTCCTCCATTATTCTTCTTCTACTATTAAGCTCAATATAATTATTATGGTTGATATCCTTACTACAAGAGAAAATATTTTAGTGTAGTCAATTCCTTTCTTTTGTTGAAATCTCCTTACAACAAGTTTTGCCTTGTAGCGTTTACAACCATCTAAATCTTCATTTAGCCTGTAAACTCACCTGTTTTGCAGTGCATTTTTCTCATATGTTAGTTTTGCCAATTTTCATGTCTAATTTGACATTAATGAATGCATTTCGTCATCCATAACAAACTCTCAATCTTTTGAGTCTTCAACTTGAGTAGTCTCGTCATAGCACTCTAATTCACCACTATCAGTCAGTAATAGATTGTAGGAAGAAGGAGAATACAGATATATTAGTAGTGTGATTTTGTTGGATCTTCTGAATTCAGTAGCAGGTGTCAAGGGAACTTCCTGTGTTTCATCAAATTGAGCACCTTTCTTTTTCCAATCTTCTTGTTCACTTGGCTCCTCTATCTCAACATACTTGGAAGGGCCTTCAAAAGTAATTGATGAATAATCCCGAATTTTATTTATGTTTTGTGCATCTATTCATTTCATTGAAAGTGACATCCCTATGAATAAATTTTTTATTCTAATAATTCTAGAATTTGTAACCAAATTCTTTTGAATCATACCCAATGAAAATGTACTTAACAGATTTTGAATCAAGTTTATTCTTAGACTTTGCATCAACATGAATATATGATGAATAACCAAATAGTTTCCAGTAAGATAGATTTACATTGTTTCTGCCCAAAACAGCTTTGATAAGTCTGCATGCAACCTCATACTCTTGGTATATTTTGTGATTGCTTTATTCATGCGCTCAGCAACATCATTTTGTTGTGGTGTCCTTGAAATAGTAAACTCATGTCTGATTCCTTAAGCACAATAACTATTGAACCTCTTATTACAATACTCACCACCATTATCTAATCTGAGGCACTTCAGCCTCAAATCTCTTATTTTCAACCATACATTTTCACTTTTTAAATATATGAAACACGACAGATTTATGTTTCAAGAAGTGCACTTATCTTTCTAGTTTGATCATCAATGAAAGCGACAAAATATAGAAAATCTTTAATGGAATAAACTGAAGTGACATCCCTATTAATAAATTTCTGGTTCTGATAATTCCAAAATTTGTAATCAAATTCTTCTGAATTATACCCAATGAAAGTGCACTTGACAGATTTTGAATCAAGTTTACTCTTAAACTCTGCATCAACATATGATGAATAACCAAATATTTTCCGGTAAGATAGATTTAGTTTTTTGTCACTCCAAGCTTCCTCGGATAAACTGTCATTCAAAGGTACTCATGTAACACGATTTATCAGATAAACTATAGTGTTCACTTCTTTTACCAAAAATTATTTTGACAAGTTTTCATGCGACCTCATACTCTAGATATACTTTTGTGATCATTCTATTCATGCACTCGACAACAGCATTTTGTTGTGGTGTCTTTGAAAAAGTAAATTGATGTCTGATTCCTTTTTAAGAACAATAATTATTGGACCTCTAATCACGATATTTAACGTCATTATCTGATCTGAGACACTTTAACCTCAATCCTCTCTTATTTTCAACCATTTATTTTCACTTTTTAAATATATAAAACACATTAGATTTATGTTTCAAAAAGTACACCCGTATCTTACTAGTTTAATCATCAATGAAAATGACAAAATATAGAGAACCTTCAATAGACTAAATATGAGTTGGACCCCATAACATCAATATGTGTTAACTCCAATTTTTTGGACTTCAACTTTGACCCACTTTTAGAGAAAATAACATTCTTTATTTGTCCTAAAATCAATCTTCATGAAAATCTAAATTTATTGACTATAAACTTTAAAGTTTATTTTTAGAAAGTAAGGATTTCATATCTTTCTCACTCGTATAGCCAAGTCTAAGGTACCAAAAACTTATGTCAACCTTTGCTCCAACTACTCCAATGAATTTAGACATCTCATTAATCAAATAAAGGGTGTTTTCAATGTTTCCCTAAGCAATTACCATTGCACCTTTAGTAATCTTTCATGGATAAAATGTGAAGTGTTCACGTATCCTGACCTTGCAAACCGATTTGCAGAAATCAGATTTGTCTTCAAACATGGAACATATTTAACCTCATTGTGTTTTCAGACTAATTCATTTTACAACCTAAATATCAATATCACTTTTTCCAATAACACTGCAGGTAATACACATTTTTTAGATCAACTTGAGTGTAGTTTTTTAACATATTTTTATTGGAGCAAGCATGAAAGAAGCACTTGAATTTACTTTCCAATATTTAGTATTATCTAGTTATAAAGTAAGGGAGTCACCTTGGATTTCATTGGTGGAGACATCTGTAGAAAGCTTTCCATTTGGATTTGAGCCACCAACATTCTTCAAAGTTTTACAATCCTTTTTAAGTAACATTTCTTCTCGTGGGTATAGCTTTTACCTCTGCCTTTTTCTCTGCCTAGCCTGAACTTTCCTCTCCTAGACATGATTTTTTTACTGTTTGTGTTTTTATTCAGAGTCATTCCTCTAGTTTTAACAGGGTAGAATTTGAAGTTTCACCACTCACCTTCTTGCAAACTTCTTCATGCAGCTCTAATCCCACAATATCATTAAATTTTAACTTCATATTTCTAGAAGAATTACTCGTCGTAGTAACTAGTCCATCCTAGTTATTTGACAATGAAGAAAATAGTAACAATGTCTTTATCTTATCATCAAATTTAATGCCAACATAACATAACTGATTTGTCACAGTGCTTAAATTATTAAGTTTTCAGCCACTGAGCTGCCATCTATCATCTTCATATTGAATAAGCTCTTCATCATAAAGATTTTGTTTGAAGCCGAAAACTTATCATACATTCTTATTAATGCAGCCATGAGATCAATAGTCCCATTCACAATGTTAAAAGCAATATATGAGGAAAG